AACGGTCAAAATCATTAGTCACTGCTTCCTCCATTGGAGTCTGGTAACGCCTCACCAGAAGAGATCAAAACGTTTGAGGCTGGTGCTAAGAAATTTGTAGGATCCAAGCTTACAAGGGGATCGATCGAGGGTAAAAACCGTCAGTGGGATTTCTACATTGGTGAGGACATGAATGTGGATGGAATGTATGCTTTCCCATCTCCGCCTTACCATCAATTACTAACATCATGCCCGTTGCAAAATAGGGTTGTTCTCCTCGGCTACAGGGAGGACGGTAGCACTCCATACGCGGTTTTCTGGAAGCATGGTCTCAAGGAGGAGAAGGTTTAAATTCTAGTGTCAATTCTTTAGCAATTTCGAGGAGAGGGAAATCAGTAGATTGCCGCATTTTCGCATATCCCGGTTTTCTTTAATGTCGCTTGAATTGAACCACAGTTTTGCAATCTATTAGCATTCAAAAGCCTTAAGTTTTCTAGTAAGGTACACTTAGTTTTGAACACAGCATTTCTTTCTTCCCGTACCGTACCGTACTACCTTGAATAAGAGAGAATTGTCTCAGGTCGCCTAGGTTTCCTTTCGGGGTAATTAGGGTGTTGTTTGGTTTTGCTGGCATTTTCTCTCACCCTAGTCGAAATAGGAAACTCAGATATCCTGTGATAATTCTCTCTTATTTAAGATAATACAGTATCCATCGCTTTTCCTTGGAATATGGATTTGTGCCCAAGATCAGTATGCACGAATGTTCACTTCCTGTTACTCAAAGGTATTTGGCCTGGAAAGTGGTTATCTAGAGATGGACAATCGGATTAGTCTAATATGGTAGTCGCATCACTTGGATTTTGGAATTATACACTTCGACGCTACGATATTTTGCCAATAACCACTAATGTCCAAAAAACAAGATATTGCACCACGGGATTTGCCACAAATTCTGTACTTGAGTAATAGAAGTGTGTACCGACATGCGCTCATATCTCAATCAGCAGGTGGTAGAATAGACGAGCCATGAATCCTCAGTGAGTGAGACGAAGATATATTACTTAGAGATGTTGACGGAATACCGCAGACTTGGACTCTCCAGATCAGAAAATTTGACCACGGGAAATCCTCGGTACAAGAAATCGGGAACTTTGCCCTTACAAGTATTCCACCATTCTAAAGGAAGAGGTAATACAAATTCCCGAGCTATTCCCTCTACCAAAATTTTTTTTTTTTTCTAATGTTGTATGAATGGGATAAGTCAGAGGGGGGTTTCTGCCAGGTCGGGTTTCCATAACTTCTGTATTGGTCCGTGCTCACCACCCATGCCCTTTGCTCAATTCAAATTATCTACATTAGACCACTTATTTCTCTACAACTTTCACCAGTAGACTCTTGAAAATTAGTCTCCAAAGCCGAATCCTCCACCTCAACCCTCCCATTCTTAATTTGTGCACTTCTTATAGTATGAATAGTTGCAAACTTCAGATTTGGATCCTCCTAGACCTTCAGCCTCTTGGTCCTTTTTACGGCAACCAGTTCTTCTTCCTGTACCTCAATTTGTTGCTTGGCAATTGCCAATTCAGCCTAGTTTTGATCCAGTATCTTACCAACCTTCTGGAGAAATAGCTTCTTGGCTGGTATAGTTAGGCGGAGACAATCTGATAGACTTCAGAATTGTCTAAGCCAATCGAAATTTGTTTCTGTAGACGGAGATTGTCTAGGAAGGCTCAGGTTCACTCTTTTCGTTTATGACTACTAAGAACGAAGTAAATTCGGTAAAGTAAAATAGAATCGTAAAAACAGTATTATATTGTTAAGGTCTCTTCTCCATTGCTTGATGATGTCTAAAGCTTAGGAGGCACTTCGATATTTATATTCTATGTCAGAGTGTTCGCGGACTACATCTATTTATCATACCACTATGTACCTTTCTGATTATAATTTGCAACATCAGGTATTCTTGAAAGGTGCGAACACCTAGAGACCCTGAAAATAACCACACCCTTTTTGGTAATTATGATATAACTAACTCAAATCCAAATTGTTCTTAATAGTAGTTATCCGATCATTAAAGTTTTTAGACTTGTAGCATAGTTCTCAAGTTGAACTGAGTTGGCTCCACATGTTCTTGTTATTGATGAAATGATCAGTTTCATCTCTGGGTTGTATCTGTAAAGGTAGTTATAATCATAAAACCTTTTTGGTCACCTGACTTTAAACCTCCATAACTTCTTACTCAACTAATAAATGTCTTTCAAAGGACTTCCTATTAATTCGCAGAAAGCTATTTTACCGGATTGATAATTATTCCCTTGGTTGCTTTGGATAATAGGACTTCAATTACTGTTATAGTATGGGAAGTTGTCGTTATAACTACAACTTATTCCGAAACCTAGTTGCAACACTCTGTGAACCCTAATAACTTCTATAGTAGTGTTTCTCAAAGTTCTAGACTCTTCTAGACATTGTAGGATGGGTGCGAATGTATTGATCTCTTGCTGAGATCCTTTATCATTCAATACCATCTCTTTGTGCAGAAACATCCTGTTACTTACAGCCCATGCCAAAGGTATTACATTTTTGAAGCCTAGTAGTGTTCTGAGTAGGTGACGGATTTACTCCGTTCCACTTCTCAGACCTAGCCGAAGGTCCCTGTAATGATCCCTCTCTGTATAGTTAGTTCTTGGCGACGGGGAACGATACTTATCAGTTCTGTCTCCATCTTTCTTTGTCCTACGATAGCTCTAGGTCTCTGCCTACATTACCGATAGTACAAGACCTTTGTCTTCTATCGGAAACGCCTATCGTAAGCTTTCTCTAACTCTTCTTCGTAAAGCGCCTTCCTTGGCGTAACGATAATGTTGCAATAAGGATAAAGATCGTAAAGGTATTTTATATTCATTAAAGTAATAAGTAGGAAAAGTACTTAGAACAAAGCGTGAAGAACCTATCTTCCTCGGCCACATCGGCCTCCTTATATAGTGTTCTTCCCGCCTTTAGTCATGTGACCTAAAGTGGTCACATGTGCGAAACTTAATCACAACAAACTAGTCATGTGACCAAAGTGATCACATACTCAAAACCCATGATCTCCTAGCAAGATTATGTGCGAAACTCATAAACCAATCATAATGCAATAAACAAGTCATATGACTCGACTGAGTCATATGCACGAAACCCATGACATCATAATGAGGTCATGTGCGAAACATAAATCATATGCGCAAGACTTACCCATAAGGCACACTCGTAAGGCATACTCGTCAGGCGCAAGTCCCATGACTCATACTTGAGCCATGTGCGAAAGCATCACAAATCCCACACATAACTAATCCTATAACCCGAATGGG